AAAAAAAAAAAAAAAAAAAAAAAAAAAAAGTACTGATTTGATGATCATCAATTGCATGCAGCCAGCTTAGAGTAGGAGAACTGCCTGCAGGCAATGACTAGAGAGCCCCTTTTATTTTGTTTTTATTTGCAACATTTCATCATGTTTATAGATAATGCTATCTATAAAAGGAATGGTACAAGTTAAGACCATCAAGTGGAATCATTAAAAATTGTCCAAGTAAAAAACAGGTGGGATGAAAATTATAGTAAGCCAAAAATAAATAAATAAATAAATTCCAGTGAAATACATGTGCATATAGATAAATAGTAAATGACCTTGTACATAGGTGGCCAAAATGACTTAAACTATCTTTAAGAGGTAGCTATTACTAATTGCCACACAAACAAAAAGTTACCAACCCTTACTGGCTGCATCTCTTAGCCATCTGCATCCAACATGCGTATGCCTCCTTTCCTGTGCCCCCTCAGCCAGTCATTAAAAACATACAGAATCCCAATGACTACCTTACATAACTAAAGACAAAAAGAACACGAATTCCCCAAAACACAGCAAAACTGAAAACACTCTACCTTGGTTCCAGGCTATTTAAAGGCTATCTCAGCCAAAAGGTTACTACTTCTCAGCTCCCAAAGCTCCATTAACAGCAAAGACTTTGGCACACAACAGGAATGCTGGTCCAAGCACTGTTGTAACTAAGTGACCTCTGAAAATTAGACTTTCTCTCCAAGGAAAAAAGGCAATGATCATAATGAAGCTTTTAACTTTCTCGATGAGCCCTGTGGACAGTTACCGAAAAATCCATACATAAGGCTCACTTCTTGCAGGTACTCCCACAACTAGATAAATGAGGCTTAAGGTTCCAAGTTCAGAAAACTCTTCAGAGTTTGAGTGTGGTAACTGGGGACTTCCAAGATATCCAGCAATTCTAATTTCCAACTGGGAATCAAGAATACCTTTAAATATGCAATGTTTATGGACTCTACTGGGTTTCTGTGGCAAGGGCAAAGTGTTACTTAGGGACCCCTGAGAAAACTAACCAGTATTATGCTACGGGGCAGTTCCACTCTGTGCTATAGGGGTCGCTATGAGGGAAATGACTTGATAGCAATGGGAACGGCTAGGTCCTGGGGGTACTGCAAACTATGTCTAATTTGATGTTGCTAGTGTTTAATTTACCTGTAATGAATGGAAGAGAGGGGGGAGACACGTTAACTGCAACCTCCTTCCAAGGGAGAACAACCGATATACAGTTAAGTGTGACAAGTATCTATATGAATTTCCATGGGCCACGGAAACTGGTGGCTTCCCGAGCGTGGCTATCAACAGCCTAGGTGCCGGTGACAGCACGGGGCTTACCTTGTTGGAGGCCATTTCACTGACGGAGTGCCTGGTCTGCAGGGTCTCTAGCTGGTCCAGACACCAGTCCAGCTCCTCCAGGGTCTCGCTGGCCAGTTTTTGGTAGGCCTCCTCTGCGAAGAGATAGGGAAAGGGGGACTCAGTTCTCAAGCGCTTCACGGAGCCAACAGCGAGTTCAAAGGGGGCCATCCTGCCGTACCCCGCCATGCTCGGATGCCCGGTGCCCGCACATGAGGGCTGCTCCTTCATATTGCCGAGCCCAGTACTGCGAATGGGGACGAGGCTCTGCTCGCAGGGCAGCCGGCCTCGGAAAAGCACGGTCTCTCCAGCTTGGCGTCTCAGTTCAGTCTCCAGGGAGGGCGTGGAGAGTGCGTCCAGCCAACTTTTACACGGGGACAAGGACAGAAAAAACAAACTGCGACTTGTAGATGGTAGGAAGGGCTCGGGTCCTACTCCTGGCTCGCAGCTTTGGAGTAAGGCGAAGGGGATGGTGCGCGTGCCTTGGTGCCCGCCCCGCAGAGGGAGCCTCTGGTCCACGTCTGATCTCCGTCCCCAGCCCTAGACCGCGTCCCCGCACGCCCCGCGCCCGCCCGCCGGCCGAGCATCTGCGCGGCGCTTCAAGCGAATGAATCAGCCGGCCACCACGTTTCCTGTTTTCTTTCTCAACTCCTCCAGCGGCGGGCTCAACGCCGCTCCATTGCCGCAGCTTTCCGGGAACACTCCCCCTAACGCCCCTCACGGCCCTCCGCGCAGCCTGGCTCCTAGTCAAACTCCTTTAAAAAAATAAAAAGCAATTCAGAATTGCAAAAGCCTGCCCTGCCACCCGCAGCTTCCCTCCCCGCAGCCTCAGCCGCCGGCAGCCTCGCCGCATCACTGTGTGCAGCCGGGCGTCGCTCGCTTTGAAGCAGAGCCGGGGAGGCGCGGCGCGAGCGTGTGTGTCTGTGGCTCTGGTGTGTGCCTGTGCGAGGGGAGCGGCGGAAAACCCGGCGTGGACCGCCTGCCGCCCGGGGTCGCGCCGCCGGGTTCGAGCCCGCCGCGGGGCTCAGGCGGACGCAGCGAGCGCGCGCGCCACCACACGCGTGGCCGCGCACCTGCCCCGAGGGTACCTCGCGAGTCCGGTGGTGCCCCTATTAACCCTACTGCCAAAACTCACTCATCTTTTCCACCACCGGCTATTTCCAGCGAGGTTTATAGTGAGACAGCCCAAGCCGGTGGCACGGACAAGGTTACTGAGGATCAGGGCAACCTTCTGGATTCTGAGGGTTTAGGGTTTACCTATTCCAGGGTGCATAAGGTGATTCCGGGAATGAAAGCGTTTGTATTCATATCAGACTCTTTCAGTACTTAGCCCAGCCCCTGCTAAGGAGCAGACTTCTAATTTTTGAGGTGGACAAAACCATACAATGTTGTGGGTCGAAAAGCTTTAGAATTCACAGATTTGACAGTATGCTGTATTTTCACATTCAGGATTACCCAAGAGTTATCATAAAGGAACAGTAATATGAATGCACCAAATGGTATGGGCAGTTTGTACATGTCCTGCCCGCGTGCTCCCTTCATCTGTGGAATTGCTCATCAGATACCAGGATGGTATTGTGGAGCCACGGCAGAAGGTCTAGAAGGGTGTTTCTACCCACCAGTCGCAGAATAAGCTACTAACCTGGGAAAGAAAAGCCTATAGATGAAAGCATAATATGGAAACCGGTTCTACAGAAGCTGATCCAGCGAAGCAAAGCGCCTCTTTACAGGCTGATCAACTGTAGGAGACTATCACTGTGTGAATATCACCACGTTAGCATATGGGTAAGGGGTAAAACCAGACTCCTAAGAGTTACTTCATAGAACTTCGTTATTTTCTAGAAAGAACATACCAAAAACCTTATATGAGTGGGATCCCTTTTCTTTGTCTTCAAATCTACAGGTATTGGTGAAGAAGAAGTTCTGCCCTATTAATTTAAACTACATCAGTGATTAGTGGCACAACAAAGCATTTCACAGGCTGAATCTTAGGTTTCTGGGATTTTTCGGGCAGATTTCTATTTAAATTTTGTAAAAGTTAAAGTATTTTAAAGTATTTTTTATATGTTCCACATGGCTAGTTGTTATCAAGGTTTCTTGAACTGTTTACTGTTTACTTTGAGAACTCTAAGTTAAAATTTGCCTCTTTTATTCCAGTCTGGTCTTTTTTTTTTTTTCCCTGCAAAAAACTTTGTAAATATATATATATCTAGATGAATGAACAACTGCCAAAAACTTGCAAAGTGAATTGAAGTGTAAGACTGGCATTTTTCTTTATCAGCAAAAGGAACAACCTTAAAGATAATTTTAAATAGTAAGTATAAAATATTTAAATAGTAAATATTCAAAGTATAAAATTTATCTGTATATCCCTTTCCTGATTATCAGAATATAAAAATACAGCACACTTGTTATAAAAATTGAAACATTATACAAGACATAACATAGGCAGTCCCTTGTAATCCCACTCCCTAAAGATCACAGACAGTAATTAAGTCTATGACCATAACATAACCATTTTCGTTTTACTTAATAACTCCCATATGCAATTACAACATTACCTAGTTGTGATGGTAGTACATCTACCATATGTTGGGATTTTTGGTTTTTGTTTTGGGGGAAGGGGAAGGTTATTTTTCTTTCTCTTTCTCCCACCCCCACCCCTTTCTCTACTATGTAAGATAGGGTTGCAGGAAATTTTAAGAGGAAATTATTTTAGGTCATTTGGTTTCCCAAAGTTAGCGTATCCAATGGGTTAAAGATGCAGAACTATTGTGTCTGGAATTTGTTTCCTGCCATCTTTCCAGTTGGTGGTTATACCCTGAAAGCAAGAATCCCCTTTCTGTACCTCTAAGACTTTGCTTTCCGTGTTTGTCTCCCCCCATGCCAATTCTCCTAAAGTCTCAGCCCTAGGGGACTTCTCAATAAGTTGGTAAGCCCCTACTTATAGTCACCAACTTTTCAGAAATCAAAAGTACAAATGCAGGCCTCTGACCTAACAGGATGTGGCAGTTGCGTCACTAGGGGGGTATGGGGATGTGGACCACACTGGGAGACATTGTCAGAGAGGGTGACACCAAAATGACTGTCCATAAAATTTATGTGCAGAGTTTCAGCAGAAATTTATTACTTTTAATAAAAATATCCCTATAGTAATTGTAACAACAAATGCATTTTTCCATAAGCCCAGCTTACATGTATCAATATGTCTGCAATGCCAAAACATATGCTAATTTACTTTTTGAACCTTCTCATGTGCTCCGGTAGAAGCTGTCATTATCACCCAATTACAGTGATGTTTCAAATCATATGATGTAGCATGTACTGTTGTTTTAGTTGCTGCCAGTGATTTTATACTCACTGATTTTGTCAAATTTTCTGGGTGTTTTAGCTACAATATTGTGGTATGTGTGAACCTAAGTATACTATGTGTGAACTTATATCAATAACTTTTTTGAGAATGAAGTACTAGTTAAAGGAAAAGAAGGAGAAGAATAATAATAAAAGGCTCAGTTATTAATAAAGTTGTAATTAATAATGTAATTCAATGTAGAATGATTTTGTGAAACAATTGTGTTGTTACTATTCTTATAAGAAACATTATGTTTAAGCCTAAGGCATTTATTTGACAGCTAACCAGAAGGTTGGTGGTTCAAACCCACTAGCTACTGCGTGGAAGGAAGACGGGGCAATCTACTTCTGTAAAGATTTATTGCCTCGGAAAGCCAATGAGGGGTCACTATGAGTCGGAATCCACTCTATAGCAGTGGGTTTGGTTTGGTTTCTGGTTTACACTTAAGCAATTTACAACTATATTTATGAAATATTATTCTATGATTAAAATTGATAATAAAGATTACTACGGATTCTGTATGGTCTTGTGTAGGAGGAGGTCCATGAACTGAGGGGTGACACCATGAGTTACCAGACTGGGTGACCCCAACCCTAGTGATACCACTGGGATGTGGCATGACATGCTATATTTCAATGTTCATTTTTTAATGTGCAAATGTAGTTCCAGAAAGATTCTGGTTAATGCTTCAAGATATTATACACCTAAATACAAAATTTGCTTTTCAGAAGGTAGAATAAGAATAAGAGGGCCAACTTTATTTCACAAGAGCCGCTTTATGCCCAAATTGTGGATTAGCCACTCAGACAGTGAATATTTTGGTATGATCATAATGTGGTATGTAAGAATATTTAAGTTCTAACATATTCTGTATGGATCTAGAGAATGGTGGGAAAAAATGACTCAGAACACATCCACAAACCAGTAAGTAAGAAAACAATTACTAATAACAGACTAAAGAACAGTTTGTTCTATAAAACTGTTGCTCAAATAAAGGATTATTATTGCTATTAGCATACAGCTGAGAATACTACTTTTTCCAGAGTCCTAGGTTAATAGACAATATGGCTAGCCACAGTTTTTGAGGATCATTTTTAAAGCTTCACTTTCAGGAATTTTAACTCTAAATGTTCTAAGATATCGAGTAACTGACCTTTTCATCCCCTACCGAAAAAGCCTCAATGTGGGATTGCCAGCTATCCTGTAGGAAATTGAGTCACCACATCAAACACACCTGAATGTCATTGACCGCTAGCAGGACAAAAACAGGGAGCCAGTACAGTTTTGGATCTTACCAAGAACACATACTACATTGATAAACAAAATACTCTCACTCTCCCCCCCCCCACCAGAGTAATATTCACTGTGGCACTACTTAAAAATATATGAAAACTCATCTACAGCAAAAGCTGGAACCTGTGGAAGGTGGAAACTTGTCCAAGAAGGACACTCAAGTATTTTGCATTAATAGAAAGCAAGAGAAAAATGGTAAAACTGTCACCTGGCAAAGATGGAAAACTTGAGAGACCTGGAATAACAAGGCAGTCCTGGTATTTAACTGTCCAAAACCTTGCTAAGGCAAGGAACTGAAAAGAGAAAAACTTCAAAGCAAAAACTCTTGGCTAAATTCCATAGAAAACTAGGAGAATGCTCTAGAATGGCAACTGAGAAATAACTTGAGCCTTTGGAAGTCCTCTCCTACAGCTGAATGGGTTTTTTTCAAGGCACCCTTGAACTATGTCA